TTGCAAGTCTTTTAGTTTCCATGGTTTCACAATTATTTCCCCCTGTTAGGTTGGGATGCCACACTTGGATATAGCAAAGGAGGCAGTCCTGGGAATTTGAATTTCCAGTGCAATGTCCTAACTGTGCTTGCTGTTGTTCCAGAAGGCCTGGGGGCTCCTGGAGGTGACAGGCTGGCCAGCAACAGGCTTGGATGGGGGAACAGAAGAAGAGACAAACCTGTGGCAGAGCAGATCCTATGCCATGAACAGGTCATGGTGTTCCAATGCTCCTCTCAGCAAGGGTTCTCCCAAGCACTGTCCTTTCTCTCCTGTCTGCCACAAAGGGTTGCTTGATGTTTTTGAAAGACAGTTCCATTTTATTCTTCCATACTGGGGAAAATGCTATTTAATCACCTTTCTAAAATACTCCAAGGTAGCCAAGTAATAGGTGTTACATGACTGCATTTCCAAATGACTGCTTTCAAGAAGCTCTGGGTTTGTTCTGTATCATTAAAGTTTGTAACTTCAGGTCAACAAACGCCTCCTTGAAAGTTCCCAGGACTTTGAAATCTAAAGAAAGAAGTATGAAACTCAGTAGGAAACTACTGAGTTAAGCCTCAATAGAAAGACATTGTGAGCATGGACTGCTTGTCACTTAGTGATTCCATGGCTGTCAAAACACAGTAGATTAACATGCTTCCGGTTTATCTGACAATGAAAGATGGGGCTTTTTCTTATCAGTGCAAATCTCAGCTTCATAAAATAGTCCCTGGCACCTCTGTGGTAGACAGACCTCATGACAAGCAGAAATGGCAGACACAGCACACAGTAATAAAGAGAAGAAAGTTTACAGTGCTGGTGTACTGTTAGTATTCAAGACAAGGCCACATTAAAAACCCCTGCTTTAGAACTGAAATACAAATGCATCCATATTTTTAAAGGTTTTATTTTGCCATCAGTAACAGGCACAAGAAATCCCTTTTTAAATGTTATTTGTAGTACAATCCTTCAGAGTTCTATTGTAACAGATGTGATACTTGGTCTCATTTTCTTCCTGGGGACATAGCTGAATGGGATTTCCTGCAGAGTAAAAATCTGTAATGGACTTAGTCTAGCACTGATTGTAAATTGTGCTGCTTTTTACTAGATGTAACTGAAAGAGAACTGATCTTCAAGAAATACCCAAATCATCCACTCAGAGTGGACCATTTACAGAGTACAGGTATGGGAGTACGACAATCAAATAGGCAGAAAGATACAACCTCACATCCATGCTGAGCAAGATGGGGATGAAAGATGGTTTCAAAAAAGGTCAAAATGACTTCATCAGTATACCATAGGAAAATGACTGGTTTTAGCAAAAGACTTTTTATGACCATTTGTCAGAGGTCAATCCACTTGAGATCAACAAGTTGGACATTGTGATACTGTGAAACTGTGTTTCTGCTGTTCTGGTTGCAGCAATTCACTATTTCCTCTCACTATTTCCATCTGGCACAGCAAAACCAAGAGCACCTCTTCTTTGGCCAATTTGCTCCCCTTTGAAACTCCACTCACTCTTACTAAACAGGATCTTGCAGCAGCTGGAATATACCACAAAAAGTGTCAACACAGTTTGGGTACCCTTTCTTCATTTTCCTGTATTTTTGGCCAATCTTTGTAGCTTGTAGTACCACTAACTGTTGTTTGGGTTTTTTCCTTCTCCTACTCATTTATCTAAAAAATAGACAACAGCAGTTTCAGATACATAGCAGAAACATTTCTTAAGCACATAACTAAACATAATAGTGTCTAATACATTCCTGAAGCAAGAAAATAAGATGGATATTCCAGGCACAAAAACTGCACGCACTTAAAAACAAAATGTGTGAAAAAAGAGGCACATAAATCACTCTTGAAACCTTGTATGACACATGTACCAATCAGATTTGAAATGAATATAAGCACAAAAATGTAATTCTAGTTCAAAATATGGACTTGTACTCTTTATACTGATGCTTTTTCCGTATAGGTTGACTGCATGCCGGTAATTGGTTTACTCTGCATGTGTCATACTAGTGGGCAGAGGCCATTCCTAACTAACTGCAAATGTATCACAAAGGAAATTTATCAATGCAGTTTCATCTAAGTGACACAGATAAGAGCAGAGTAAACCAGGAGAATTGCTAATTACATTGGTTTAGAGTAAAACATTTGTGTACACATAACTGTTTTGTATTACACCTTTGCTGATATCCAATTTTACACATTCTGCTGGTTTGGCTCTCTACTCCAACACAACAAACAGTTTCAATAAAAGAAATCATTACAAGCAGAGCTTCCAAGCAGTTTTGCAGCTTTTGGTGGATGATCCAAACTCCCTCAATCCATCACAGAGGAATAATAAGCTTGGTACAGCGTAGGCCCTGTAGGTATCTAAAGCACCTTCACCTCCTCTGCTAGGAGCAGCAGTCTCTTAAAACAACGTCCACCAGTTCAAATGAGTCCTGTGTTCACTCTTATTTCATCACTTATTTTAGGTCACTGTGTAAATACCTTCTAAGCTTCCTTTATGATCGGCTTTCTGAAACAAAAGAGCAAAAATGTAAAATATCACAAAATAAGGGCTTTATGCAACCTGAGGGCCACAAGTATTCAAATCCTTCCCCTCTCAAATTCAACCACAGGATGAATGAGACTAACAGCCTATTTCAATATTCCCTTTTAGCCATATCTTTGAGATTAGTTTCTATTCATTTCCCAGTTTGTAGAGTAAAAAGAAAAGGAAGCTGTAAAATTATTTCAACGTGTCCCTTGCCAGTGCAGGGTGGTTGAATTCTTTTCTGCAATTCCTCCATTTTTGCAGGCCAAATGTCAAGGTTGTGGAGGACACCTGTGGGAGAAAGGCATCCTGGCCTTCATGTTTCAGGACACAGAGCCACTAACAGTGGCCTTGAATTGAGGAGGTCTCTCTCTCTAAGTTCTGAAAGCAGGTGAGAGAGAGAAGTAGGAATAAATGAGGGAACACGCACATTAATACAAGAAGAGGATGTAGAGAAGAAAAGGGAGGTGCAAACATTTCTACATTTCCAAAAGTATTCATTGCCTCACAGACCGCCACAGATCCTGACTGAAGACAGATCTTAACTCTTCCACAGGATTTCAGGTAGTGTAAATACTCATATCAAAATAACTACCTTTACTTTGGAAGTCTTAAAAATTCACGTTAAATTCTTTGGAACTGAGCGGTTAAATGATCACGTGAAAGTCATGCAGGGGAACGGAGTGCTTGTTTTTCAGTAACGTGTATCCCTTGGGAAAACCCTATGCCAAGGCACAGTGGATAGAATGCAAGCCTAGGTTGGGCAAAACCTACACAGCCTGGGAGGGCAGAAAGTTTCCTCACCTGTAGGAAGGGTGCCTTAATCACCAGGCTACTAGTCGATTTAGGATCAGAGGACTGAGAACAGGCTGCAGGAGAGAATACACTCCTACTGATCCTGGAATTGAACACACAAGACAGCATGACTCTGTAGCAGTGGCAGTGTTTTGGATGCTCAGCATGGGGTGTATTGATTTAAGCCTCTGCTTTATTAATATCAAATAACTACTGGATCAGGCATCCAGACTTTTCCTTTCCCAGATGACTGAAGTGGCTAGTAGACCAGCAAACCTCACAGAAACACACAGGTTCTCTCCTTCAAGCCTGAGAAATGCTTGTTTGCTTCATGCAGATCAGTTCAGGTACTCTCTGGGAACAGGAGATGGAGATGTTGGTTTGAAATTCTTCAGGCAAAAATGTTCCCTAGATATGCTCTGGAAGTATCAGCATCTGCAGGCACAGCAGTAAGAAATATCTGATTTGAAGATCCTAAAAATGCTTAGGTATGAGGTAGACTGCAGGGCACTTGCCTCTGAAGCACTCCCAAGAATGCTTCAAAGCAGTTGTGGAGCCCTGGAAAGCTTTGAAATTAAAACTCGAGGATCCCAGAGGCTCTGGGATCTAACACTGCATGGCAGCTGGCTTTGAGGACTGCAGTTTTTGATTTAAGCATGTAAATTGTGGGTGAAGATAGGTTTAAATGTCCAGTTGCTTTTGTTGATCTAATGCTTAACCTTTCACCTGATGCCACCTTATGCTGACTTTAGTACATGTTTTAGTAGTCCTTATACTGGTGAAGACAATGGAAATTTCTGAATTTACCCTAATATTTGTGAACAGTACTAGATTAATCTAAAGTATGTTAATAAGAAGCACAGGTTTGTTCAGGGTCCATGTATGGAAAATCAGTTTAATTCTGGGGTTGGTTTTTTTGTTTGCTTTGTTTTTTTCCTGTAAAAACATACTTGGAAAAAGAAGCAGAACAAGGACAGAAAATCTGCAGGTTCTGATAAGACAGCAGAAAAACAGGGAGAATTTCTTGTTTAAAACAGGAATTATTGCGGGTTGTATGTAAGATACAAGAGTTTACTTGAAAAACAGTAATTAACAAATCCAGCTACAGCTTCCAAATGTGGGTTTACCTACACCAAGAACATATAAAAATCTACAGATCTCTAGTAGCCTTCAAGATACATGTAGTGAATCTTATGAATTCACCATGCTTTTTTCAGCAGAAAATAGCATAGGAAGTTTAAAGAAATAGAAAAAAGCTCAAAGCAGCACAGTGAGAAATTATTCCGTTTCAATCCCTCAAAATCAAAGAATAATTCTATGAAACTTAAGAAAACGGGTTTTTGAAACAAGTTTGGTCTGTGAAAACATTTCTAGCCAAAACCATGCTCATCTGATGAAGAATCAATAAAAAAGCTGAGGACACTGAGGAGTGATGGGGAAGGGAAAAATAATGCCAGTCTTAAAAAGAGACCTACTAGCTGACTGTACTTGGTCTCTGTGCAGTATTTTACCCATTAGAGGGACACCCTCATACTGTATTTGAGAGGGTGCAGGCAATCTCCAACTAACAGCTTTGTGTTTTTTAAAAGAAGTGAAGAACCAGTCATCACTTCTCTCTGACACTCATTTGTCTCAGGCTGTATCAATGGAGTCTCTCTCAGTGTCAACCAACAGCTTCACTCTGGACCTTTACAAAAAGCTGAATGAAACTTCCGAAGGCCAAAACACTTTCTTTTCTCCTTGGAGTATTGCAACTGCTCTCGCCATGGTCTACCTGGGTGCAAAAGGTGACACTGCAACCCAGATGGCTGAGGTAAGCTCTGAAATTAGCAGTATATCACCTTACAGGTGGTTCCCACATAACTGCATTATTCTTCTGCCTATGGGGAACAGAAAGGAACAGCATGGGAGAACAGTGACCTGCCATAACATTGGGTACAGGAAATAACGCCATTCATGCTGCCAGCAGTCCTACAGGGCACTGTTCTTCCACTTTATTTCCAGCATTTCCCTGCTCTGCACTACCCCTACATTGAGCTTAGACTTACAGTTCCCAGAGCATTGCAAGTGGTCTGCCAGAGGGAAGTTATTGACATTAGAGACTACTGCTGGTCTTACTTGGAACTCTACCTTCTATTTTAATTGCCTATTGAACAGAATAATTCACCTGATACAGTGCTCAAATAGTTATAATAAAGTACTAGCAAAATTAATACAGAGCTAAGATAATCTAGAAAAAGGAGTGCCAGAGATAAATTCACTGCTTCTAGACCTCAGCTGGTTCTGGAGGCAGTACATCTGCTTTCTCATACCACATACCAAAGTTAGTAAGCTCTCCTGAACACATGCTGGGCTGCACCAGAGCAGTACACATACCTTTGCTTGTGACACAGTTAGTCCATAAATAAGGTACTTCTCCCACGAAAAACAGAGATGTACTAACACTGAAAATATTATTTCACTTATGCCCGCTTTAGCAGAACTTTTCAGTCTTGTACTCTTTTAGGTTATATGCATTTTCTTAAACACATTAAATGTATAATTTTACATTTCTGTCCTACATTCTGTAGTAAGACTCTGAAATGCACTATGCTCTCTGTTGTGCTTGGTCATGATCTGCAAATAAATTCTATGTATCCAAGCATGAACTGACGATTTATCTAAATAAATTCATATTTGAGCCATAATATTGATCTATGATTAAGCTGTAAATGTGACTAAAATCTATATAATAATGATACAGTTATAGAGACTAAATCAAGAGTAAGGTCTTGTCCTCAGTAACTTTTAATAGACTGTCATTGGGCATGACTGGTGAATTACCATAGAAAATGAACATCATTACATAACCCTTGGGCACATTTATCTTCAATAACCAAGCTGTCTTTATGAACATTTGTCATCATCACAGGTTCTTCATTTTAACCAGACTGCAGGAGAAGAAGGTTCATCTGAGACAACAAGGCCTTCTCCGGGGACACCAAAGAAAAGGAAGATGGTATTTATTACAATAAAAGACTCGGAGAAAAAAAATCTCTGAGAAAGTGATAGTTCATCACAACTACTGCTTTAGCCTTCTAACATCTGCTTGTCTTCAGTCTGTATCTTACTGTTCAGTAAGAACTATATATAAAGAGAAAAAGTGAACAAGCAGATAATGTTACCATAAAACTCAGGCCTCCAAAAGCAGAACTGAGACACTAACAGCATTTTGATTGGCCCTAATACTGTGTTACTTGGTTTTAGCTGGTCTATAGCAGTATCAACAAATCAACTGTCCTAATGTGCTTAGGACAATTCTATCTCTTATCAGCTTCAGGGTTTCTTTTTCTGTAGTGAAAAACAACTACTGCATTCACCCCTGACTCCAGCCTGACCCAATAAACTCCCTTCCACCTTTTTCATGCATGGACACATCAGGCAAAAAAAATCCCCTTTTAAGCTAGAGCATGCTGATTCATCCATGTTCATCAGCTCCCCAGAGACTTGCTACCAGGAGGAACTGCTCAGATCTTCTTCATCAAATGAACTCCATAAGCACCAAAAGGCTTGTAAACTCAAACAAGCTCTGTTTCTTTAGCATAGAAATTAAAAGAAAGCTCAGAGAAACTAGATGATTAGACAAACTGGAAATAAAAAGGAGGAGGAGGAGGAGGAGGTTATCATTCTCTCCCTAGGTGGTGGGGGATGAATCTTCAAGATGAATCATTACATCCACATTCATTTTAGCAAATCACTGACTTTCTGAGTTGTAGCAAAGTCTGCCTAATCTGGTCCTTCAGACATTTCCCTCCATTACCTCTTCAGTCTGTTCCCATCCCCTTGCAAAACCCAACCTCTCCTATCCTGTGTCCTCTGGCTACCAAATTCTTTCCCAAGTGTCCTTCCTAGCAGCCCATGTCTCAGGCTGAGTGAGAAAAGACCAGAGCAAGGAATGCTACCTGACCAACCTTATGACAAGTCACCATGAGTCAGTGGCATAGACTCTCAGTGTCTCACATGCAGGGCATGGTATATGCCATGGAGGAGGAGACTGCACCTGAGCAGCTGGAAGGGAGCAGCTGACAGGTAGCAGCTTATTTCTCCATTAGTGCAGCAACAGCTGGCAAGCAAGCTCATGCTCCCCAAAATCATCAACATTGACATCCAGGACAAAATCCAAAAAGCAACAGCAAAATCCATGTGAAACAGAAAATCTGAATAGTTGGTAAGTCCATACCCTGACGTTAGTGTCTGTCAGAACAGAGCACCTCCTCAAAAGCTGCAAGGCTGCCTTGATGGGTCCCTGTGACACTGAAAATTAGGCCTGACCATGACTGAAATGAGGAGATTCAACTCCCTGGGTGCACCATCAGCTGAGGTCCCCAAAGGCCTACATAGCACTGCAGAAACAGATCATCGCCCTACAGACAGAAAACAATTTGTCCAGTTATACATAGAGCTGCAAACATGCAACATACTCAAAAAAGAGCTCCATGCCCTGAAACTCCTTGTTAGTTAAAATAACCTGGGCATTTTAAATAACCTGGGCATTTTAAATAACCACAGCAGGTGCAACACTTCAGACAGAAAAAAGATATTTCATATTAATTGATGTCTCTTTCCAAGGATCCTGAGCACAAGCAAGCTGAAAACATCCACTCTGGCTTCAAAGAGCTCCTGTGTGCCATCAACAAACCCAGAAGCACCTACTTGCTGAAGAGCGCCAACCGACTGTATGAGGAAAAGACCTACCCGTTACTGCCTGTGAGCTGAACATTTTTACTTAAGAATACTTTGATATTAAGAGGGATTGTCAATAGAGATGATAAAAATTTTCCAAATGACATCACTGTGGTTTCAGTGAGAACATGAGGGCAGCCATACAGACAAGAGGTCCATTTGTCTCCAACAGTGGTCAAAAAGTTTAGGAAGGGTATGGGAACATGGCATGCTGTGTAGTGATGCTTCTCCAGAATCTGCTCTGGTCACCAAGCAATCTGCAGCTCAGGGACTTCCTGAACCAGAGAGCATGTCCACTTAAGAGACCTTGATGAGCCATTCTTTTATGAATTTGCAGATTTGCCTCTTGAATCTACCACAACTCTCAACACCAGGAGTTTCACAGCTGAACTATACACTCTAGGAAGCACCTGCGTTTGAGCCTGTTATCTGTTGGCATCATTATTGGTTCATTTTTCCTCTAAAGGACGCTTCTCCATATCTTTGGTCATCCTTGTCCCCTGTCTCTGTATCTTTTATACTCTAGCATTTCTGCTTTTCTGCCATAACTTTACCAGAACATTCCCTTTATAGCTGATCCTCTATTGCCCTCACAAACTCTTGGCAGGTTCCTCACCTCTGAAACAAACTAAAAGCCTTGTTTCAACTTTATATGAGACTATTCTTCCCTCTTACATTGAACTCTACATCATAAGGCAGGAAAAAAGTATTTAAATGATATAAAATGTCATTTTGAGAAATTAAAAAAAAAGGTGAAGAATGTTTGTTTCATGGGATATTTCGAAATTACAAATTTGCACTTTGGATTTCAAACACAAAAATTTATCAGTTTCCTTGAGACTGAAGTTTGATCAGTACTTACTTAATATTTATCAGAACTTATTTTAAGGGTTATCCCATTTCAAACAAATTATATTTTCTTCAATTATGTATTAGCAGATTGTACAATCTGTTGAAGTAATTATTTCAAACATTTTTATAACTCAAATTTAACTAAATAAGCCTACATTTTCCAATTCTATCTTTCAGAAATTCTTACAGCTCATTACAAGCTATTACAATGCGAAGCCAGAAGCTGTAAACTTTAAGACAGCTGCAGAACAAGCCAGAGCACTGATCAATTCGTGGGTTGAAAATGAAACTGAGAGTAAGTACCACTCTGATGACATTTACTGCTCTTGCAGCCAAGGATCCATAAAAGATGGAAATTTAGGGGAGGTGATGAGCAAAGTGCAGTTAAATGGCTTGAAGAATGCCCCTCCGCAAACCTAACTGCTGCTCCTTACAAGGTCCTTCCCTTGATTCTTCATGCTGTAGCCTCTTCTGAATTACCTCTGTTCAGAGGGAGGCACAGGTAGATAATGAGTGGCTCCACTCTGATTAGGGTTTTACTTCGGCATGCTTCAGCTGCTTGCATCCAACTTCACAAAACATCCAAGCTAGTCCACTTTACCCACTTCCCAATGCCATTTACTACCAAAATTGAAATAAATATATTAAAAAAAAAAAAGAGAGAGATACTTCAAGAGCCATTTTTACCATATGTAAACCATGAAAAAAGTACAGTTAAAAAAATCTCCCAAATGCAAACATTTTTGCTAGATAGCTAGGCACAAAGAAAGCACAATTAAAACTGGCGAGTCACAAGTCACATTGGAATAACAGTCCTATCCGTCTGATTTTGAAGGGAAAATCCAGGATCTGCTGCCTGCAGGATCTCTCAGTTCTCACACTGTATTGGTCTTAGTAAATGCCATTTATTTCAAAGGAAAGTGGGAAAAGAAATTTCTGGAGAAAAATACTTCTGAGATGCCCTTCAGACTGAGCAAGGTAAACTCCTTGTCTATATGCCTATTGTCCTATGTCAGTATGTCTATTACTGAAGAGCAAGAAACTTCTAAATATTTCACCTGCATTTCATATGCCACTGCAACACTACACATGGGCACATGGTATAAACTCAGTGAGAACAGCAATTGTGAAAATAAGTCAGCATTATCTTATTTACGTGTATCCATGAGAATATGATTTTCACTTTAATTAATAGCTCTTCAGTATCAAAACACTTGAGAACACCATGGTTAAGTAGCTTAAGGACAAGAGGAAATTTCCGTTAAGTACCAAGTTCCATTTTCAAAAGGGACTGAGTTGCTTTTGAGAGCAATGCTTACACACCTACCTCTCTTTTCTGCTTTTGAGACACAGTCTATACTCTGAGTTCAAGGAAACTGAACCAACTGTTCTTTCCTCACGCACCCTGGGTGTTGTGTAAAACCTCAGAGGGAATTTTCATGAGGGCTCGTCATTTTAGCCAAATGCGTGAGGATGATGTATTCTATATACACTGAGGGCACGTTATTGAGCTAGCAGTATTCAAACAATCATGTGCTGACGATTCACAGTAGCTGACTGCATGCGTATTTTTGGACTGTGTCAAAGGCAAGCAAAATTATTTGTCAATGGAAGCATGTATCTTGTTTGACATAGATTATGAGTGCAAATACCTTTTGTATGCCAGGCAATGTGAAGCGATTGTGTCAATGATGTGACTGTGTATCCAAAATCTACTATGCTACATGTGTGGTTTCAGGATCTGTCACGGTACATGGTTGCGGTGGGCTGACCCTGGCCGGCCACCAGGTGCCCACCAAGCCACTGTATCACTCCCCCTTCTCAACAGGACATGGGGGAGAAAAATAGGATGAAAAGCTCATGGGTTGAGATAAGGACAGGGAGATCATTTTCCAATTACCATCCTGGGCAAAACAGACTGGACTTGGGGAAATTAATTTAATTTATTGCCAATTAATCAGAGTAGGACAATGAGAAACAAGACCAAATATAAAACACCTTCCCCCCACCCCTCCCTTCTTTCTAGGCTCAACTTCACTCCCAACTCTTCTACCTGTCCCCCAAAGCAGCGCAGGGGGACGGGGAATGGGGTTTGTGGTCACTTCATAATCCTTTGTCTCTGCCACTCCTTCCTCCTCACACTTTTCCCCTGCTCCAATGTGTGGTTCCACCCACGGGACACAGTCCTTCATGTCCAACATGGGTCCCTTCCACACGGTGCAGTCCTTCAGGAGCAGACTGCTCCAGCATGGGTCCCCCACGGGGTCACGGGTCCTGCCAGCAAACCTGCTCCTGAGTGGGCTTCTCTCTGCAGGGGGTCACAGGTCCTGCCAGGAGCCTGCTCCAGCACGGCTTTCCCATGGGTTGCGTCTTCCTTCAAGGCACATCTACCTGTCCCAGCATGGGGTCCTCCATGGGCTGCAGGGTGGATATCTGCTTCACCATGGTCTTCACCCCAGGCTGCAGGGGAATCTCTGCTCCAGTGCCTGGAGCACCTCCTCCCTCTCCTTCCTCGCTGACCTTGGTGTCTGTGGAGTTGTTTCTCTCACATTTCCTCACTCCCCTCTCACAGATGCTGTGCACTGCAACTTTTACCCCTTCTTAAATATGTTATCACAGAAGCACTACCATCATCACTGACTGGCTCAGCTTTGGCCAGTGGTGGGTCCGTCTTGGAGCTGGCTGGCACTCACTCTGTCTGACATGGAGGCAGCTTCTGGTATCTCCTCACAGAAGCCATCCCTGCAGCCCCGCCGCTACCAAAACCTTGCCACGTAAACCCAATACATTGGTGCACAGAGAGGGTTTAAGTCACAGGGTACCTGATACAAAGCCTGCAAACAGATAAACTTTTGCACTCCAATGTAACTCAAATGTAAAGGAGACAGGGGATATATTAGTGAAAGCTCTGTGAACATAATACAGCACAGGAGTTCAGAAGACCATTGGGTAATCCAATTTCATTTGGTAACCCAGTCCTCTATGGTTTGGGAAAGAGGAAAAGCCAGCCCAGGTCACAGAAAATATGGTTCAGAGGCAAAGTGAGACAATCAGTATTGCCTGAAAGTATAAAATAGGCAAAAGAGTTGATGGCATCCAGGGAAAGAAAGTGAATGTTTTTTCCCCCCAGTCAACGTCCTCACTCCAAAAATGTAGTATTTGGGAGAAAACATGAAACACTTATAGTAGTTACTTGTTTATCAAAGCTAACTCCTTTATTTTAAAATGAAAAATATATTACATTTGATTCAGTTAGCAGGTAGATACTTATGTGTCTATGTCGATTTTTTGTAAAGATCCCAATGACTTTGAAAAGGGGGTGTATGTGACACTGTCCAAAGGAAAGGGTACTAAGTATCCAAATGCTGCTGAGTCTTGCACTTGTTTAAAAATTTTTGCTTTCAGTTCAATGAAGCAAGTAATCTTCATCATGCATTTTAAGGAATGAAGTAACACTATTTTTTATGTCTGAATTTTTTCACAGACCAAGACTAAACCAGTACAGATGATGTTTCTGAGAGATACATTTTTGATCCTCCATGAAACAACCATGAAATTCAAAATCATTGAGCTGCCATATGTGGAAAATGAACTCAGCATGTTCATTCTCCTACCAGATGACATCAATGATAACACTACTGGTCTGGAGCTGGTAACAGTGACCTGTTGCAACCACTGTTGCATCACATACACTATGAGACAGTAACACAAACAGATGAAAATTGTGAGGAAGAATGAGCTTCAAAATCACAGTAGGATATGTTCTGATGTGTGCATACTTAACTCTAACTGTAGCATCATGATTTCTCAGCTTAGGATTCAGGGCATCTGATACCACTGCAAACATAGTATTTTACTTAGGGATACATCTAAAAATTATGTCCATACAACTGTCTTAGCCTATTTTGTGTCCTCTTTTCTATTGCCAGAATAGCACAAGGAGAGCAAGGACCACAAGTGATTCACTGTGCCCTAGAGTTATCTTCCCCCAAGGGCTGTATTAATTCATTCTTGTGCAGTCCAAATTTGCACCTCATATTTTGTGGTGAGGTTTCTCAAACTAAGTGCTGACTACCCTGACGCAGAAGGTATCAACAGCTGCTCATGACCACACCAGGATCAGTTTCAGATTCTAAACAGATCAGGGCAAACATCTTTTTATTTGTACCTGAGGTCCCATGCATTCCACTTAGTTACCACTACTAAGAGAAAAATTATCCATATACACACATAGCAAGCACCTATTAATATCATTATGAGTCCCACATTGCAAAAAAGCAATATTGTTCACACCAGAAAAAAAAAACCAAAAAAACTACTCTGAGGGTTCAGGCCTATACCTCGCAACCTTTAAGAAGATAAACAGGAGTGTAAGTCACTTGACATTTTGCAGAATCACACCCTATGAATATGGCACACATTCCAGCTGTATCCACTGCTGGTAGCTGGGCTTTTGTTCTTGATGAGCGTTAAGATACTGGTGGGTGTATGTCTTGTCTCTGTCCTTTGCATTCCAACTATTTTCTTCCTCATTGCAGGTGGAAAGAGAGCTAACATATGAGAAATTGGCTGAATGGACCAAATCAGCCAGTATGATGAAAGCAGAAGTGGACCTGTACCTGCCCAAATTGAAGCTGGAAGAGAATTATGACCTTAAACCCACTTTGAGCAGCATGGGGATACAAAATGCTTTTGACCCAGTTCAGGCTGATTTTACAGGGATGTCAGTGAAGAAGGATCTTTTCATCTCAAAAGTTATTCACAAAGCTTTTGTGGAGGTCAATGAAGAAGGCACTGAGGCAACAGCTGCCACAGGCGTCCTGGTGCTGAGATCAAAAGCACCAACAATGACTTTTAAAGCTGACCACCCTTTTCTCTTCTTCATCAGACACAACAAATCACAAACCATCCTCTTCTTTGGCAGACTCTGCTCACCCTAGTCAGAATTCCTCCTTGGCCTGCAGAGTAGGAGATGCTCGCTTGCCAGCTCAGAAGCAAATACCAGAACCTGAAACTCCTGATGCAACTGGAGGAAGTGGGACCTGAACCCTTTCTCCATCAGACCACACACCCCAGGGCCCAAGACACAGGTCCTCCTGTGCTTCTCTCCTACCCCAAAGGGACAGCCGTGGCAGTGGGGAGCGCACGATGTGGTCTTAGCACCAACTCCCACCCCTCAGCAGTTAGACCCTGCTCCTGTTCGGCCCCTGATTAGGTCCTTGCATTACAAATGGAGGCAGACCCTCCCTACCCAAGGCCTGTGGCCATTCCCTTACACCTTCTTTCCAAATCCCAGCTGTAAGTCTTCATCAGCTCCCAATTTCACCTCAGCTAGCTTCACGTCACTTTACTGATTCCTTAAAAAACAAAACAGAACAAAACAAAACACCTCTGTGAGGGCTATTTGCCTCACTCAGACCCTCAGGTACATGAGGAGAGGCCAAGCCTGTACGGTCTCCGGCTACAGCAACACCTCACTTTCATTCAAAACAACACCTACTTCAAAAATAGTTAATAAAAATAATAATAATAATGCCACATGGCCCAGCTCTGCCACTAGAGGGAGGCAGAGG